ATAAAGAGAAAGTAACAATATGCAAAAACCCTAAACCCTAAACCCTAAACCCTAAACCCTTAAACACCAACTGATAGAGTGGCTGGAGCTCACCGCTCCCCGGGGGCAGGCCGATCCCTCTTGCTGCTTCTGCGCTGTCTGTTGAGTTGTTTAGGATAGAAGTTCAATAAAAAACAACTCATTTGTTTAATATTTTATAAATAAGCAGGCAGCAGCAGCACAAAAGCACATAAATAAACCCTAAACCCTAAAGCCTAAACCCTAATAGGCTGCTTAAGCCCCATCAATCGCCTCCTCTATACACAGAGAAACGAACCCCCTCCTTTGTTTACGACTCTTCTTTCTTTGCTTTTTTCTTTTTTTTTCTTTTTAATTAAAAATTAATTACTTTTTAATGTATATAAACAACGTGCATGCAGTGCTGCTCGCCGAGGGTCGTCGCGTCTCTATCGATACACCGCAGCATCAACCAATACATACATACATACGTACGTACATACGTATATATGTATGTATAAGCATTTATATATATAATATATCTATTTATATTATATTATTTATATTTTTGTGTGTTTGTGGGTGTGCGAGTATGCGCTAGAGTCAGCTGTTTGTACACCTGGTTTTATCTGTGTAGCTGCCAGCCTATTCTCAGCACCTGCTGCTGCTGTTTCTGTTGCTGCTGCTGTTGCTGCTGCTGCTGCTGCTGCTGCTGCTGCTGCTGCTGCAGCTGCTGTCTCTAGGGCCGCCCCACACTCAGTAACACCGAAGCTCAGCTGCTACTGGCGGTGTTAGTACTAAAGGAATTATTATAAATATATTTGTTAGTGAAAGTCAAAATAAATATATTTATTATAAAAAATATTATTAGGAGATGAATGGTAAATAAAAGAATTATTACTAAGAAAAATATTTATAGAAAAGTAATCGTAATAATAATTTTTAATGAAATAAAAAAAAATAATATTACTATTAATTATTTCTTCTTTCTGTTTTTTTAATAAGTAATATTATTATTAATTAATAGTAAAATTATTTATTAAGGAAATAAATAAATAGTAATAATATAAAAAGATAAACAAAAGAGTAAATCAATAGTAATAATATAAAGAAAGAAAGATAAATAGAAGGACTAATAGATAGTAATGTTATAATAAAAGAAAAATAAATAAAAGAATAAACTTAATATCTATTAAGTTTATTCTTTTATTTATTTTT